TGCAAGTCTTGCTCAGACATGATGTAAGACACGATTTCGACAGCATTTCGGGACGATGAGTCAAGAGACTCTGTTTGAGAAAATTTTTGGAATCTTGCTGACGATTTACTCTTCCAGTGACGTGACGAACGATTGGAATTTGGCAGATGAGAGATTGTGTTTGCGAGACTGGTTGGATGGGCAGGCAAGACGCTATGCGTGTTTCTTTCTGGGCTTAGAATTTCACAATCGGGCTTGATGTCCAATTTGCCTCTCGAAGACAAAGCGTTTAGGTCAGGATGGAGGAGACAGAATTGATGGCTCGATGTGAGCATCTTATGGAAATCAACACTGTCTCTACTCCAGTCCTTGTACCTCCTGTCACCGTAATCGTGACTTCCAGTGCAGGTCTATTCATTCTGTAAGCACCAGAGCAGATAGAGACGGGTGACCCTTTCAGATCGAGATCGATATCATGACGTGCTGGCAAGCTTCTCAGATAGTTCCGCGAGGCAATCATCGATGTTGATTCCAAACTGATAAGTAGAAAAACTGAATCCGAGTGTTGACAGACACGTGATATCATTGTCAACACTACAACACTGTGGTGACCTACCACGCATCTTCTTCCACCTTCTTTTCCCTTTCTCTCACAAACACAAAATTGCCATCGCACAATTGGGGAGGTGAGAAGTCATTTCCTGGCTCTTTACGACTTTCATCCCCAGCTAACGCTTTCCGAAAGGCAACCATGGCGACCATTTTCCTACGCGACGATGGCGACCTCACTTTGATCGTAGGCGAGGAGAAACAGCGATACGTAGTCTGCCGCCGTACCATCTCCGGAGTCTGCAAATCCTGGCATACAATGTTCACCAAGTTCTCCGAAGCCTCCGCCGCAGAAGTCGAGCTGCCAGACGATAACCCCAAAGCCATTCTCACCATACTTCAGATTGCCCATCTCAGATTTGACCAGCTTCCTGCCGGAGAGCTGTCTTTGGACGTATTGAATCAACTTGCTATCGTCTGTGACAAGTATGATGCCGTTGCAACTGTCCGCCCATTTCTGACAACTTGGTTACAACCTTCATCAACTATGTACCTCAGTCCAGGAAACGAGCGCATGATATGGGTCGCTTGGGTTTTCGGCTACCAGAAGATGTTCTCGGACATAGCGCTCAAGTTACAATCGACCATCTACACAACCGAAGACGGAAAATGCATGTCAGTAGAAGGAACGGTCCTTGATGAGCATATGCCACCAAAACTCATAGGTAAATCAGAAATTGTTGGCAGTGATTCCCCGAGGCTGACTCCCAGCGCAGAGAGAATGCTTGAGATTCGCCAAACTGGCATTGACGATCTTTTAGCAGTGTGCTACGCATACATCGACCAAGTAGAGAAAGAGGAAACATGCAGAGAAAGGCACTCGAAGATGAAGGAACAGTGTCATCTGCTTACGCTAGGCTCCATCGTTCATGCATTCCGTGCACTCGAGATATGGAAGCCTCGCAGGACAGGTGCAGATATCCATCAAAGCGTCTCGAGCTTCTATAAAGCAGTTAAACATGTCAAGACCTCTACAATCCAGGAGACGATTACACAGGCAAGCTATGGGCACTACAGCCCCAGATCTCAAGCAGGTCATGGCGAGTGCAACCTCACGTCGAAGATGGTGGTGGACCTCTTGAAGGTCTACAACGCTGTGCCAACACCCGTTGAGAATTTCCAGCTTGAGCGCATTCAGCAACAAGCCAAAAAGGGAGTGCCATTATCGTCGAAGAAGGATTGAAGACGGTGATCCTATGCGAATGTCCAGACACCATACGCCCTGCCCAAGACAGACTTTCCCAGCATGTGGCAACGCGCTTGGACAGTGTTCATGAACTTCACCTTTCGCATCGATTCGGATTGAGGAAGCTCTCTCCTGACAGGAGCGCTGGTGCCGAAATGGGCTATCGAGGAAAATATTGATTATCGACAAGTGCGTGAGCGGAAGGAGAGAAGTTCAAGGTCTGAGGGCAACGGATTTTGACTCTGCTGATGGCCATTTGAATCAGTCTCATTACCTCGTTTAAGGTACTCTGAGTCAATTTTCGCTTGGAGCAGCAAACTTCCTGGTTCCCTTTCGTGGAAACACCAGTTGTGGCTACTTTCAGGAAGTCAACGATAAAGGCCCGGCTAGAAATAATGTGAGAGAATGAATGGACTTGTTTTGTCCGTACTGAGGCAAGATAGAAGGCCTAGCTATAGCTGAGTCTTGGTGTAATTACTTAGCCTGATTCTTATCGAAATCTCCAAATCGTCATATGTCCTTGCTCTTTCAATGTACCGGGAAATAGTTAGGAAGTATCCCATCATTTGGCCGGTGTAGCTAGATGGATTGGCACTGATGTTAGCTCAGTCTGCTGTAAGATATGGTGGATCAGCCTACCTGTTGGTTTTCGGGGCTTGGGTTTGGTCGTCGATGGACATCGAATGGAATCGAGTTGCCAAAAGAGGAGACTCGTCCAGAAAGCCAATCACCCATACAATCTATTATAACTGCTCATCGCTATTATGCATATCCTGCACGCATGATTTGAAGTCACGGCGGATTCGGAATCGTCTTTTCCTGAATAACCATGAGAGAGAACGCCGCTCTCACCCGTCAGAACAGGGTTTCCTGTCCAGCGGCTGTGATGCACGGTGACGCTCCACGATGAAACCATCAACATGGTAAGGAAGACAAGAACGCAGGCTGGTGCTACAAAAGAAGATTAGCGATATGGCTTGTCGCGACAACCTCACCGAGCCTTAAGCTGTCGTTTTGCAAAGACAACCTTGCGGACGAAATTTTCCATGTTGAAGAAACCACCACCGTCATCTACCAATCCCGAGTGTCTTCACAAAGCTCTTGCCACCGCCGGAGAACATATATTGCCTCCAGATTAGGTCGCCACAAGTGTAAAAAGACTTGCAGCTTACGAAGTGCGGTCCAAGATGCGACCGCGAACGCAAGCGGTGGTCGATGATACATAGGTCGAGGCGGATAATCCGCTTTCAAGAAGATCGCGGTAAGAAAGTGGAAAATGAACGGGTTCGTGTGATCAACAGGAACGAGACGAGGGAAACCTAAGGTTAGCAGCTGAACCATTGAAGTGTATCTCGAAGCTGCATTCTCGTCATTGAATGTAACGTATCTTGGACACTTCAATGTCCTGTCTCTGAGCGCAGGATGGTGTCAAACCCATCAGTCTCAATATTGGCACTAATATAAAGACAAGCTACTACCACTTGGAAGGGTATCATACTTCACACAAGTCCCACGCGCGAAAGACTCCGCGTGCTTACTCTCTGTTGCTGAGATGATAACTTCCTGCATGGTGGTGAGCAGTTGGATCTTCTATCAAAGCTGGAGGTGCTTACATGAAAACCAATCTGCCCACATGTCCACATACTCCTTGTGCGCATTGTGTCCTGCATCATTCGTGTTTCTGTCGAATAGCTACGATATCGTGCATGTCCTCATCCGGCCTTTTGGTATGTGACCTTCATCGTCTTCGCGCCCACCGTGCGTCCGTTCAACGCCTCTCTTGCCGAAATTGCTCCATCATTTCCATCATATTCCACGAAAGCATTACCAGCGAATCTTCCAGCAGTGATCATCCGCACTTCTCTGAAGCCAGCATAGCGATTGAACATAGCCACCAGCGCGTCTTCGTCGTACTCGTCCGGAATCTCGCGCACGAAAAGGACGTTGTTTGGAGGTAGGTATTCGTCGGGAACGACTGCTTGCTTGACGGCAGGTTTGTGGGCTTTGAGTGGTAGTCCGGAGGTCGTGTCTTCGGGAGCGGCGCGCTTTCGAGCTTGTTGTTCTGCGTCTTCGGCGGCCTGTCTGCGTTCTTTGTGGACGGGTCAGCATTTCAGGTAGTGATTGATATGTCCTGCTTGCGAGAAGCTGGAAGAGCGTACCCTTCTCGTATTTACGCTTCTTCAAGTGCTCGTTGTATTGTTCCTCTGAGCAGAATCGCTTCACAACAGCATCCGAGGGCGTTCTGGCTAGTTCGCAAACAAGAGTTCGTCCGCCAGGTGTAAACTCAAACCCATCGAGAAGATCTTTAGCAGTCGCAGCTTCGGCTGGGTCTGCGTAGACAATGAATGCCTGCCCTTTGCGTTTCAAGCTGCGCTTCACAATTATATCCACCGGGTGTGTTTCCAGCTCTTCGGCGATCAGGTTGAGACGCTCGCGCAGGGCTTGGACTTGGGCTTCTGAGTTGAGGCGTTCTGGATCTACGCGCTTGATGTACAGTGTACAGGCGGCTAGTGAATTGTAATCCATGGCTGTGGTGTCCGTTGTTCAAAAGTTGGAGAGCTTCAAGTTCGAGGTTGATGTTCGCAAATGGAGCTAAGCACAGAATTTGTCTTGGCAAAAACATCGAGTCTTTTTAGGAGGCCGCTACCTCGAAATCAACATCGGGAAATTCTTGTAATATTCATAATTGATTTTGAAAGCTCAACAGGATTATCTTGCTGTCGTCTCGGAGTAACAAGATCAATCTAGCCTTTCGAAATTACTACAGCGCAGCGAATGAACATCTTTCTTTCACTTCCACGAATACTGGCCCCTTGAGCGGCTACTCGATCGTTCTCGCTACCTGGAGTTGGATCGACTTCTTTCTGTATCTTACATCAAGCCGTGATCAATACCAATTGCAAGCATGTCCAGGCTGTCCGGACATCTCAAAGACCATCCCATTCTCGTAAGTACGAACTTCGAACCCCAATGCTAAACTACACCTTCCAGGATCTTCGGTTGCTATGAAGTCCAAACTGGACCTAATCTCACGAATGATCTAGAGGAGATCTATCGTTCTTGATGGTCCAATCTTTCCCGTTACAATCAAGTCTCCAGCTCAAGGTAACGTTTCTTCCTCCCACAAATCCTAGGACCGTTTACTTGGTTGACAAATTTTATACCCTACTGGTCCATCGGACAAGAAGTCAATATACCAGATACATGTTTTGATTCGCTTAGGTCCGCCCTGCTGGCGCAATGGTAGCGCGCGAGACTTCTATCCAGTTTATCATTCCTGGCATCTCGAGGCTGCGGGTTCGAGTCCCGCGTAGGGTTCTACTCCTCACCAGTCATTATTTTTGCTCTTCCAAAGCCCCGCCTGGATATGTATGAGCTGGTGTTGAAAGGAATAGTATCTTTTGGTCCGCCGGGATACTCTAGATAGGGGCAACTGTGGAAGCCGTGCGATAGCAGCTCGCGATTGCCACGTTCTGCCTCACAGAGCAAGGGTCTATGTACCCTTCAAAAATTGACGGGTTCAAGATCGAAAGACCGTTCGAAAACAATCTGTTTATGTTACAAGAATAGCCATTTCAAGTTTATTCTTGACCTCTATTCAAAGTATACCAAGATACAATCTCCGCCGGCATTATGCTAGCAAACCAGAACATATGAAAAGAGACATGATTGCATTTCAAGACTGTAGTTCCAACGTTCACTGGGTATATACAAAAGAACGATTTCATCAATGATTACGAGAACCATGTCCTATCCACATAACTCTACAACGTCAGAATTGCCACAAGCCCAGCAACAATCAACGTCAATCCACTCGCTACATTCCTTCCAGCCGCGTTCTTAGTAACCTGGAGCGGCGAGTAAGAGGTGAGGTTACCAGTGCTCTTGGCTGATGCTGTTCCGTTTCCGTTGTTGTAGACAGCGGCTGGTGTTACGACAGCCTTGACAGCGTAGGACGATGTACTGACGACAACGGGGTTGATGGGAGAAGAGGGCGAGCTGACTACGATGGGTTTGACAGGGTATGAAGAGGTTCCATTCATCTTCGCTGGGTATAATGAAGACGCGACGGCCGAGGACTTGGTTCCTTTGACGGTGATGGTCGATGTTATAGTCTCGCATTCAGATGAGCTCGTCTTCGGCTTGATAGGAGCAGCGGGCGTGGCCATGGAAGACGAATTTTTGACGGTGACAGTGTGGACTTTGAAATCGTACCTGATAGTTGACGCAGACATGTACAGACTAGATTTGCCGGAAGTGGCGACCTTGATTACGGATTTACCCGTCTCGGTGTAATGGCACATGGCGCAATATGTTCCGGTTTTGGTGATCTTGCTGGTCATCGAGCCGTAAACATAGTCGGTAACGACGACAGATTTGACCACGGCCTTGATGGGCTGGAAACCAGCAGGGTATGTGCAGCTCGTGATCGGCGGGTAGTATGGTTTGCTGGTGCTGCTGGTGTATTTGACGCTTGAAACAGTGCTTGCATCGTAGTCATAGCTGTATCCTTTGGAGCTGGTAGTGGGTTTAGCAGAAGAAGATTTCTTCGATGATGGGTCGTAAAGGTCATAGTAGTTGACGCTGGAAGACGAGAACGAGGATGGATCGTATGGGTGGTGTGCACGTGATGTCGTGGATGTAGTGGCGGATGACGGGTAATGATCGGAAGTATACGAGATCGTTGACACTGCGATGCTTGAGGAGTTGGTATAACGTCCGCTGGAGTGAGAGGGAGAAATGAGGTCGGTGGTAGAGATGCTTGATGAACCTGTGCTTGCGTGGTTGCTACTTGGACTGGTTATGGCAGACGACGAACCACTTGTGGTAATCGACGATGATGTAGCATTCGACGATGATGCGGCGCTGGAGGAAGAGCTAGCGCTGGACGATGAGGACGATGAGACGCTGGAAGAAGAAAATAGGCTAGAGAATGTAGAAGAGCTAGAGCTTGAGATAGATGAACTTGCGCTTGAAGATGAGGAGCTGCTGCTTGATAAGGACGGGCTAGCGCTGGACGAAGACGAGCTGACACTTGAGGCAGATGAGCTGGAGCTCGAGGAGAACGAACTGGCGATGGATGACGTGCTTAATGCGATGGACGAGGAAGAGCTTGAGGAAGCACATGAAGGTGGTGTGGTGGTCTCCTCGAAAACCTTGATGGAGTTAATCTCCCAGAATCTACGATTATCAGCATTTTCAAAAGCACGCGTCAAGAGAAGGCATACCCATCATCGAAGGTCTCTGGATGAAGAGCGACCTGGGCTTTGCAAGACTTCCATTGGGGCTCACTGCTTGGGAACGTCAACGGGCAGCCGGCGGTGCTGTAAACGCCATCAGCACCAGCCCAGGAACCGCAAAAAGTGGTGGTGAAGACGAGTCTGTTTTCTTTGAAGTTGCTGGCAATGTCGCATCCTGAGAAGAAAGAATCAGGTGCGCCAAACTCGGTCACATCAGGTGCGCTGCAAGACAAGCTTTTGGGTTCCGAACCACGAGGGAAGAACCAGGTCTTGATGAAAGTATCGGTCCACTGCATGGCATATATTCCTCCATTTCCAGTGTTAAATGGATCGCCGAACCCAGCATTCGTTCCCGAGTTAATACCGCAGCCAACGAAGTTGTCCATGACACCGTTATGAGTGGTCTGGCAGTCGCTGGACGCTATATTTCCTTGCATAGGAACATTATCAATCGCACAAGCTGTGTTTCCACTGTGGAGGGAGGCTTTGTTTCTCGTGACTTCATTGACACCCTCGATGATGTCGATCTCACCACTGTGCTTAGTCAGTCTGGGAATACGATACTAAGGTAGAGTGGTTCAAACATACTTCAGAGGCCAGGTACCGGATCCTAGAGTCCAGAATGCAGGCCACATACCACAAGCATTTCCAGGCATATGCGCAATGTCTGCAACGAAGAGACCCTTGGTGTAGGAAGTCTTGCCTTCTAGTCGTACAGAAGCACGCCCACGAACATTATTATCATTGGGATCTAGAATCCCCGAGCCTACTCCCCATTTGGCGGATGTGCTAGTACTTGAGATTAGGCCCAACGCCTGAGCATCAGCACGAGACTTGTAGCTGAATAGAAGTTAGAGGCGACCCTTGCTGAACATCCAAGCTACATACTCGACATAACCACCGGTAGGATCGACATCGGTGAAAAAATCAAACTTGTCGAAGAATGTGTCACCTTGGTAGATGTCCTTCTGAGCATAGAAAGTATCAGCAGAAACGAGAGATAGAAAAGGGCTTAAGACTAGAAGTAGAGACTGTGTAGAATGCATTGTGATAAGGAATGACTGCAGTGGTACGAATCAATGACAGGACGCTCAAGGTATCGAGCTGAGTTGTTGCGGGCTGCGAAATCATCAGATGGATTTTTCTTCGAGGATGGACATATTGTATATAAAGCTCCCATCTAGGCCCATCTCCTTGGAGGCTGGAGGCTTGTACTATTTGGGCATAATGGGACTACTCGGGGAGACCGTCTCTAAGACAAGAACATGATGAGTGGAAATACCACAGGCCATGAAGCCTTGCAGGGCATAAGCGAAGGTCGATAGGGATCAATGAGCTAACAATGCAAGCGGGAACGAGCGCAGCTATAGACGCTGTCTTGCATTAGCCATTTGCACGATCATGGTCACTCGTAGACTTTCCCTGTTCAGTTGTTGCAAGCCGCATTGGCCGGAATAAAGAAAGAATCGCCAATTCAAACGTCTAGATCTTTCGTCGTTGTGGGTAGATGTGGACAGGGCTGCAAAGACCTCTTGACATCAAGTGTACTGTCAACGAGCGACGCATGAGCAGAGCATGGTCATAAGGGATAGTGCCTTGGTTTGAATCATTCTTCTTGAATACGCAATACTTAGCGGCAGCTAAATTCAAACGGTGTTCCTGCGTCTCCTAGGCCTTGGGCAATAAGTATGATAGAGCAGAAAAGCGTGTCATGATACATTACGACAGCTGTTGATGTAGCGTAGAATGATGGGGATTTGGGACATGGCCGTTGCTGGATTGTCGCGGACTCGGCTCGTCTTTGCGATAGGGCGATGAAAACAGAGATGGAAAGACGTTGCTCGGAGGATGATGTTGAACGTTTGCTGCAGAGCTGAGCTTGGCGTGGCGTTGTCTGGCGAGTCTGGACTCTGGAACGTGACTCCTGCTCAAGCCACAGCTGAGTCTGAGAGCCCAAAATAAACCCCCCTGCCAAGACGCTTTCCGATCCATCTCAATCCTCAATCTCGGTTACGCTAGGGCGAAAGACACGTGCGAGTACATAGACAGATGTGTCATCTGCAGTTTGCACTCACGGCACTTCAAATCGGCCTGTCTTCGCGCCGTCTTGGGCTCTCGATGTCCGTTACTCATCTCAGTTCTCAGATCCACGGCGCGCGTTGAAGACCACCTTAGACCTCGAATCACTTTCACGTCTTTCGTTCTTGTCTCCAAAGATGCAGTTGAGAGGGTTCGAAGCTGAGCACGAGCACTTGACTGAAAAAGACATGAAGAACGCCATGAACTCCTGCGGCTCCTTGAAGTCGAGACCTATTGACGGCGTCCAACGACAGGGCAGTATCCAGGAATGCTCTAGCCACTGACAACAGCTCTATTTCATTCAGCACACAAAATATCATTCCTGGCGAGGCTGTCTCCGGAGAGCATCCTCTTCTATCCCTTGAAATCAGGGGCTCGGTCCGCAGATTCTCTCGATAAGAGTATAATGGCGGCATGAGAATCTTGTCTGTTGTGCAGCAGTTGTTCAATCATCGGCTTGCGGACTCCGTAGTCTTCACTACGACTCCAGCACAGCTGCAGGAATGCCTCTTGCCGAGAAACTCAAGAGTAAGGATATCAGTCGTGTCTACCTGACTAGCTACGACCAAGATGCTGGCGATTGCTCACGTGCCAATAATTCATTTGTTCTCCACGCCCATTTTCATCACAAAAGGCCAACGGGACATGATACGCGTTTCTGAAGACATAGCACAGGACGAGAAAACAGATATTCACTGCTTGACAAGCAACGATTGGACTCAGCCAGATCGTGAGGGCCAAGATCCCGAAGGAATCAAGCCGAGATACACGCGCCATTGATATCCGGCAGTCATTGAGGGAGATACTGGAATGACTCGACGTACAATTTCATCTGTTGAAAACTTAGTAAGAGTTGTTGAACTCGGTCCGTCCAATCACTGGCCTTTCTGAGTAGCTAATCTGCCACGTGAAGAAGTGAAGAGAAGTGTCAGGTTTATGCGCGAGCTGGTCACGTCCATCTGGACTGAAAAGATCTTGATCCAAAATATCTTATCGTGG